GACCAGGGGGAGAGATGGTGGGAAGAGATAAATTGGGAGTCTGATATTTGCTGATACTAACTACTATATATAAAATAAACAAGTTTCTACAGTGTAGTACAGGGAGCTATATTCAGTATCTTGCAGTAACCTACAATGAAAAACAATATGAAAACAAATACATGTATGTGTATGTATGACTGAAACATTATCTTATACACCAGAAATTGATGCAACATTGTAAACTGACTATACTTCAATTAAAAAAAATTATATAGTGCTGGCTCAAATTTTCCCATATAAGTTTTTGTCATTATCAGGGTAAATTAAGAAATACATTCAAATGTCAATAGAAAGCATATCTTCTCTGACAAACTGTGCTATCACTAATACAGAATTGTAATGATGTACTATAAAAATTGGTATTTGGTTACAAATCAATCAGACTCCAGAAAAGCTTTTTCAAATGCATCATAAGTGGATATAAACAAAATCTAAAATTGTCACACAAGAACATAAACTACACACTTAACAACAATTTAATTTAATGCCAAGTATATTTACTTGTATTTCATGAAACTTCTTTTCACATTATAATATACCAATAAATGTCACATCAACAGCTCATGAAATATAGCTTCAGAGGCTTCCTGAGTAATTGCGATTTTTTATACTCAACCGAATTTTAGGTTCCTGAGTAAAACACCCAGAGTATGGGTTTTATTAAACAAATAAAAACTAACCTGTTCCTTGGTATAAGGAACATTACATTTCGCACTTTTCTGTTCATATTCTAATTAGTACACAGCACTATCAGAACAAGCAACACAAAAGCACCTTACTTAAGGGAGTTAATTTTGTGGATCTCATATGTTATGAAATATGAAACAAAATAATACAAATCCCACCACATGAGAAATGTAATAATCCCTGGTCCAGCTCTGCCCACAATATCTCATCACTACTGTTGTGTAGACATTGTAAGTTTGGGGTTGCTTTGCGCTATCCTTACCTATTTTCACAGTAACATCATCATGTTGTTCAAAAGGCTCAGCCTGCTGCAGGTTCCTAACTGTGACAAGTTAAGATTTTATATGAAATAATAATTGTAAAATTACATATTAGGTTAAGAAGCTTAATTAAAACAGAAAATTCTTTTAAAATTGATAATGATGATACAACAAAGCTACATGCCAAGATTCTTACTTTGGGAGCAAAAGCAGTAGGAAGGATTGAAGTATCAGAAGTAGGTCATGGACTTCCACATTTCATTTTGTAGATTTATGTAACTTCCTGGAAAAACCTCTCCATTGTTGAAATGGAATTAAAATAGATTCAGGGAACCTTAGAACTTGAAGAATACTCATTAAGATAATAGTTCTCAGAATCTAAGTAAGATATTCTCCCAGTTTCAAAATAGAACATGGGTCTAATTTTAGCAATGCATTGTTGAATAATCTTAGTATTTTATATATGATACCATAACTTTGAACTCAAAGCATCCACAAAAATGGAAAACTAGCTATAATTTATTTGTCCCCAATAAATAAATAATGAAAAAATATATCCTGTTCATATCCAGCAAGTGATAGGAGTTTTTTTTAATAAGAGGACTCAGAAAGGTAACCAGAGAGGTGGCTATTTAAAAAGCCGTAAGTTTCTGAAAGTTCATACACAATCACATGCTTTTATTCCATTCCCAAGAATACACACATACTTCTATTTTTAAGAGACAATTGACATTTCATATCATGTCTTTACATTTTTATCTCAACTCTGCATCCCAGGGGAGTGACAAAGTCACACCATCTTTTTGGATGGAATGGTTCACACAACTCACCACAAGACAACGCTGATGCTTTGAATTGCCCCAGTAAATAAGTCCATATTGGTCCTCTCTAAGTTTTTATAAAGTTAAGGGTCACTACAAAAGTCTGGGTCTAATGCAATTCCTCGCTCTCTTCTGAGAATGAATCAGGATTATTTTGGATTATTTTAGATTGAAGAAGGTCTCCATATGTACCTTGTGTTTGTTCAAGGCTACTTCCTTTGGAATTTCTCCATAATTTAATCTAATTTCAGACTTATGAGTGGAATAATCCATAGTTAGATATTTATGAGGATAATGGTGCTCAAACTGGCTCCCTTGGTGGAATCCCTGAAGATTAAGGTGCTCTTTTTGAAATATCATGAAATAATGATATAACATTAAATTCTAAATCATGTGTTGAATTCTAACACATGAGTCTGAAATATTTGATTCCTGGATGACGCAACCATAATTATATCATTATAAAAATCAAAAACCTCCTCCCACTTAGCCAAGATAAAAACAAGCTTTCTGTGTGATTCCTGCTGGGATGTATATGATACCATTCATGAATGAATCTTGCTAAAACAAAAAAAGGAAGAGAACCTGAATGTGAAGCTCTCAGTTTACAGGAAATACAAGTAGAGAAGAACAAGACTAATGACACTTCAGGGATGCAATCAGCAAAATCCAGCAGGAGAAAGACATTAAAGGAAAACTGACTCTGTTTCATCAACAAATAAGCTGCAAAGAACTAAAAGAAGAGGAACCTATATATTGAAAGGGGCTTTAGACGTATGTCAACCAAATGTTATATGTGACCCGTGTTTGCACCCTCATTCAAACAAATTAACTTTTCAAGAACCATGAGACACCAGGAAAATTTGTACACTTATGGGATATTTGATGATCTTAGGGAACTACTGTAAATACTTGTAGGGAAATAGTCCCATTGTGCTTTAACAAAACAGTGCTCTACTTTTAGATATATGTAGTGAAATATTTGTAGATGCATGCATATTATATGATGCACGAGCTTGCTTCAGAGTAATCCAGGAAGTTAGAAATGACTCAATGGTGGGTATAGATGAAACCAGATCAGCCATACATTGATAAAAGTTGAATAACTGAGTATGTATCTGAAGAAAGGGAAATCACTATCTCAAGAGATAGTGCACCCCCATGTTCATTGCAGCATTGTTTACATATAGCCAAAACACAGAAACCACTTAAGTATCCATCAGTGAATGAATGGATAAAAGAATGTGATGTGTGTGTGTATACACACCACATATATATACTATATACATATAAAGCATATATATAATAAAGTGGAATATTGTTCAGCCATAAAAAATAAGTGAATCTTGTCATTTGTGACAACATGGGTTAATTTTGAGGGCATTATGCCAAACGAAATAAGTCAGATAAAGACAAATCATACATGATCTCACTTATATGTGGGATCTAAAAAACACAAACTCATAGAAACAAATTGTAGGCTGACAGCTGCCAGAAGCTGGGGAGTGGGAGAAATGAGTGATGATCAAAGGGTACAAATCGCCAGTTACAAAATGAAAAAGTTTTGAGGTTCTAACATACGTCATGGTGACTGTAGTTGACAATAATATATTGCACACCTGAGATTTGCTAAGAGAGTAGATCTTAAATGTTCTCCCTACTAAAAAAAAAGAAAAGAAAAGAAAAGGAAAAAGGCAAACTATACAATTATGTGAGGGGATGGATGTGTTAACTAACCTTGTGAAAATCATTTCACAATATATTACACAATGTTATACGTCAAATATATCTCAATGTTACTGGGAAAAAAGATGTCAATTTTCCCCCTCCCCTCTAATAAGTAGTTGAATAATTTAACCTCTATGGGTGATGGGCATTTAGAAGTTCTTTACATATTCTCTCAAATTTGTATATCTTCAAAATTTTCCATAATATACACTGTTTAAAAGAAAGCTGATTACCTAAAATATATTTTCATTAATATTATTAATATGAGCGGAAAACCAAAAGAAAATGTAGCAAAAGATACATACAGAAGAGTTTATTGAAACAGAAAACTCAACTCAATTAGTATTATTTGGGAACTGAAGGGACTTCTGACCAGGTTTTGGTCTGAGGTATTCCATGGTTTAAAAAGAAGGCTTCTAGAACAAAGGGTTGTCCAGAAGCAGACCAGGATAACCACCACAAAACCAATATATTTAAATTATGTGCTAACAGAAGCCTAGAAGAAAAGACTAAGATTAGCTTCTCTTTCTTACCTTATTTCACTGATCAAACACTAAATCACATCTTTTATAAAAGTACAGAACTCATTATAGATTAAAGAAAATGAGCAGAAGACACTAGAGGGTAAATAGTTAAAAAAACACTCTTACAGTATTTAAAACAGCATTTATTAGCCTTTTCTTCTGAATATTGAGTGATTAAACCTAAGCTGTTTATTAATCTCTTTCAGGGTCTCTATTTTTTATTATTATTATTATTATTTTACTAATTTCTTTCAGATTGATGTCCATTTTGGTGTCTGGTCACTCAAACCACTGTCAATATTTTCCCTGTTATTCTACTACTGAACTATATTTTTAGTAGCCAAACAACATAAGACATCCGTGTTACTAATTCAGTCTGAGCATTTGCCTCAAAGCATGAGTGAAACCTTCACCCTTTTGTTGGTCCATCCCTGGTCTTGGACTCATTGAAGTATATTTGTCAGAATTACAGTCAAATTGAACCCACTATTGAATCAATAATTGAACTCTGCTCCTAAGATGCTTTCTATTTAACACTGAAGGAAAATAAAACAGCTTGACCCTTGTGAAGTGTTATGAAGAGCTGAAGTCAAGTGGAGACTTCTTTTATTCTGGTTGGAGTATTTTGTTGCTATCTTAACCTTGAGCTGGGCAGAAGCATGAATAGCTACATAAAATTCCTTTACCTTTGTTGTGTCCATGTTAAGAGGCCTTATTAACACAAAGGCATTAAAATGGGATTGAGCCAGTAGCTAAGCATTTAATGTTAATGCTTATAATAACTTAAAGTAAGAGGATAATAGCCACCATTTACTGAGTATGTATTTTAACCAAACACAGAGCTAAAGGCTTTACATACAACATTACATTTGCATACTTTTCCGTCATTCCAAGAGATCATCCAACCAGTTGCTCCCATCAAGACCACCACCATCCTACAGACTTTGCAGTGACAGTGAGCAAAGTTACTGAAGCTTTTAAATAGGCATCCTGCTGTGGGCTGGAGCCAGCTCACACTGATTCATGAGACTATTAAGCGCATCTTTTCCCAACATCAAGGTTAAGTGACATCATAGTGGTAGTTTAAAATGGCCATGATGAGAGAATTTACACTACAGAAATTCGTAAACATCTTTTTTTCCTTTCTCAGAGAGTCAGTTGTTAGACATTTACCAATACACCATTGTTATTGCTACTGCAGTGGCAGTTTAAAGTTAGGAAATGACTAATAATTAAACAAAGAAGGAGAAAAAGGAAAAAAAAAGCGCCTCAGTAGTGTTCCACCCACCAGCCATTCCCCAATTTGTTTCATTTCTTGAAAGAACCAGGTGAGAGAGACATGGTCCTTTGGGCATTCTCTTGGTGGGAGGAGGAACTGGGAAAAGGCACTACAACAGAGGTCAGCACACTATGGTCTGTGTGCTGAACGTGGCTGAGTCCCTGTTTTAATAAGTAACGTGTTACTGGAGCACAGCCAAACCCAGTTGTTTCTGTGTTGCCCGTGGCTGCTTTCACATCTCGACAGACGTTCACAGAAGTTGTGACACAGCCTGTATGACCCCAGAACCAAAGCTATTTACTATCTGGTCCTTTTCAGAAAGACTCTTCCATGAGTGACTAAGGTTGAAATGTGTTTGGTATATGGATGATGCTTTATTTTGAATTTAATCCATGCAAGGATGAGGTAGAAATAAGCTTCCTATCCTTGTTTTACCTCAATCTAGTGAAGCAAGTTAAAGAAATAAGCTCTGTCCCTAAATTTTATTGCATGACTCATACAATTTCATCATGCAGGGTATTTCATTCATTATGTTGGGACCACTCATTCTTGGTCACAAAATGTATATATATTCCAATATGTGTGTGTGTGTGTGTGTGTGTGTGTGTGTGTGTATTGAGATACTCAACCTCAATATATATATAGGTTGGGATATCCAGACCCTCTACTTGGATGTCTTCATTCATTCACCTACTTATTCAACAAATATTTATTGAAGGCTACTATAGTCCAGCCTACTAGGTTCGAGGTACTAGAGTCTACTCATGAATAATCAAAGCTCTTTCCCATAAGGAACTTGTATTTTAGTGGGAAAGGTATATTCATATTTGCTTGTTGTTTAACAGCCTATCAAGAACTGATAAGCACTATGAAGAAAACTTAGAGCAAGAGAAATGTTGGACAATGAATGATGTGCTTTTTAAGATGTTTAAGGAAAGCATCTTTAAGAAGGTGACATTTGAGTAGAGAGACCAGAATAAAGTGAAGGAATAAGTCATGTGTTCCAGAGGGACCAGTAAAGGATAAGGCTCACCAGTGGGCATGTGTTCACAAGAAGGGTAAAAAGAGGGGAGTGATGATGTCAGCAAGGTAGGCAGGCCTTGTAAGCACAGTAAGGATTGTGTTTGCTAGTCATACTACACGGAAAACCACTGGGAAGCTGTGAGGAGGAGTGATAAGCGTTTTAAATTAACGCCCCATCTCCCAGGTATAATAGAGATTACAGTAGGTAATAAGAGGGAAGAAGATCAGTGACAAGGCTGTTGCCATAACACAGGCAAGACATGACCTGCTTGTGTAGGGCTTAGGGTTATGGGAAACTGGGAAGACAGTTAAAGGACTTTGGATTGAAAAATGCTTGTAGACACTCCAAGACCTTTTTATAACTGAGTGCTCATTTAATTCTTATTACATAGAATAGAGAGTGAGGAAGAATTCATGCATTCATTCAGCAAACATTTACTGTTTATTAGTAAGAAAAGAAGTGCTATGTACTGACATTAAAAGTTAAAAGAAACTCAGTTTAGTGGAAAATAACTACCAACAACTGAGTTTCTCACATATCACCTCTGTCTCTACTACTTCATACAAATTCCCCTGACCCTGACCTCAACCCCCTATGCTAAGTTCTCTGCGTTCATGGGACCCTTTTGGACCCAAAGCTGCTCTTCCTCAGGACATCTGAGGCTGCTACCATTCAGAATGCCCTTCTCATTGGGAGTCTGAAAATGGAAGGAATGGATTAAAACAGAATATAGTCTATGTGGTACACACACACATACACACACAGATGTATCCTGGTTCGAATATCCAGCTGTTGAGTCTTCCAAGTCTTTCCTATCTCTACTGACATAGTTGTGTGATTCTCCAGCCAATTAAGCAATAGAATTTCTTTAATTCATGTTTTAATCATGGTGGTCTCAACTCTCTCTTCTTCCTTTCTTGCATTTTGAGGATAATGCACTAAATTTTTCAGACATCGATTTCCTTGAGGGTCTCTCCTATTGTTTGACATAGAAAGACACACTCTCTCCTATTAAACACGCAGGTCCCCATGTTGCCGTGAGTATTGTGAATTCAGTATCTGTTCTAAAAGTTATGCTTATTTCTTTGTCCAAAACAAAGGACATATCTCGCTTGCTTTCCAAACCAACAAGATTCAAGCCCTGAGTGAACATTCGGGAATTTTAGCAGAGTGGTGGCGTTGTTCCCCATAGTATGGACCTGCCTGTGACTCCAAAGGCACCTTTCAATGTCAGCAAAAATCCAGGGTTTATAAACAGGAGAAGGAGGGGCATGAATCAACTGACAGGCAGTTCTGGAAGCTGAGAATAAGTGTACCAAGCTAACATTCCTGAGAATGGGGTTTTTGAAACCTAAGTATTGTGCACTCCAAATTGCAGCACAAGGTACTTTGACGTGACTTAAAAAGTCATTTAAGAAGTAGGGGAAAGATAATGACTAGGGAATGCTTTGTACGTTACATGTTATATATAAAATGCACATAGTAATGTACTATATTGCTGATATGTTTTTAATTTTTAAAATGCTCTAAGTGTACAATCTTGATCATATTTTCCTTAGTGTTATGATGAAGATAAAAAATAAAATGGGGACTTGGTGATCCTCTCCTAGGTGTGGGTGGGCTGCACCAGACTTCCTCCCCTTCACAAGCAAGGCTTCAGAGCCTTGGGAGCTTGGGAAGGGTTAAAGTTTTGCCTGTGACACTGAAATTGAGGCCAGCTGTAGGTCATATTCACGTCCCAGTCACAGGAAAATGAACCTGTGAGACAGAACCTAATTATCTGCTAAACCAAAAGCCAGTCTCAGTTCAATAACTTACGACAGAGCTAGCAGCCAGATATAGTGTTACCATGGCAACGCTGGAAAAAGCTCCACTGCGGTTGAGAATGAGGAGGAAGGGAGGAGACTGTAACCCTAAACGTGCTGCAGCCGTTTGATCTTGGACAAGTGGGTCTGTCTGAAAAAACAGGTTATTCTACACATGACTACCTTTGTCTGTGCACTTTAATATCTGCCACAATTACTGAAAAGAAGAATGCAGTTATAATGTCCTCAGGGCTTACAATAATTCACTCATAAAGCTGGGAATTAATTTTAAAGAAAACACATAAGCTTCCTTTTTCTCCTCATCCATGCCATCCCCAAATACAGATAAAGCAGGACACAAAGGGTGGGGGTTCTTGAATACCTCATCATTGTAATGAATGAGTTCTGTGCCCATGAAATTCACTGTCATCCTATTTTCCTCTTATTGCCAAATGCTGAGACATTTTTAAGAGAAAACTTTTAGGAATGAAGCAATACTATTAGCTTTTCTGAGGAGTAGGAGTAGAACCAGAGAGTAGAAGAGAAATCATTTTTCTTTGTGAACTCCATCTAAACTTTCAAGTGAATAATTTCCTGGAATATTGAGTTAAGAAGAGTCACACATTAGAGGGAGATAAGCCCTGCCAGTTTGGTCATTTTTCTTCCTGCCAGTTCAACTTTGTAGTTCTTTCTGGAACAGCACTGGGTTTCTGAACTTGAGAGACGATAAGGTGCAAGCACGTGAAAACTGCACTAGCCAGTTACCATGAATACTGTGAAAACAGCATCTCACTAAAAATATTTGCAGAAGTAATAAGAACCTACCATAAGCACTTAGAGGGGAAATTCAGAAGTATACTCCTTTCTCTCACTCTCTTTTTCAATCCTTCCCAATGGAGACAAATCACGCTAAAGCTTGTCACTTGCAATTACTGGATTTCAACATATTTGACAATTTTGATGTGCTATTAATGATGTAATACGACACATCTAGTACATAATGTTATCACTTGGGCTTGCTATCCCGTTGTGATACCGAATTTGAATCACATAGGTATACATGCATAAATATATAGATACAGCAGTGTTTCCTTATGCATAACTCATCAACACATTGGGTTTGGAATATGGAGAGGAAGGAGTATGGAGATGAATAATATCCTTTTCATATGCATGAATAGCTTTGCAGTCATGCAAATGAGAAAACACAAAATGGAAAGTAGGTTTCTTCTAGCAGAAATATGACTAGAAATGTAGCCTGAAATTTGCCAATATATTAGAGTCACTTTTGATGTCTGTGAATTTTCTTTAAGGTGTCACATCTCTTAAAAACATTTTCCCCTACCCTATTATATTTTCAGTATATAATTACATAAATATAGAAATCCACAACTTTAAATTCCTTTCAACTACCATAGTGCGTGAAAGGGAGCTTTAGGATCTTAAGAAGATAAAAGGTGAAGGTAGGCATGGGGTGGGTGTGCAGAAAAGCAACATCAAAGGGCAAAATGAATTTTCTGATTAATTTCCAGGTAGAAGTAACCTAACCTCTGCTCCTGACCCTAGGTTAATTCCTTCTCAAGTAAGTGGAAGCCAGAATGTATACTCCTTTCTAAGACAGATGTTTCTGAGATCTGACTATTAAAGAGTCTTATTGGTTGCAAAGATGCCAACAATACAGTTCAATAAACTGTTTGGATCCTGTTACTCATAATATGAATAAGTTTTTCTGTTAATCTCTCCACTTACATGAATTAATTAGTTAGAAAATAAAATGAAGCAGTTTTATCAGAAGAGCATCTGAAAGAGCTATTGATTCAAATGCTTTTACATTTTTGCTGTATCACACATGATTAGCTGGCAGATATGAGCTTAATAATGAGGCAAAGCACCAGATTTCACTGGATTCTCTGTTCCACCTGAATTGCCAGGAAGAGATATTGGAAGCACTAACAAAGAAATAATGCTGCTTTTCTCATGACATTTTTTCAGTCAATGATTTTTGAAGAGATGTACCATGACTTTATACAGCACATTCTCGACTATTCCATCGGAGATATTCTTTAGCATCATCAGTATTTCCCATGCTGTTGTGAGTAGTTGTGCTTGTACGCACTTTTGTTTCTTTCTAATTGTAACCTTAGTGTCCGTCAGTAAGAATTTTGTGAAGCATGTGCTCCATCCTGTATAAAGGTATCGATATGTTCAATTAACATTAAACAAATACAATAAAATAAACTGCAGCTGAAGCTAAATTTACACTTTAAAACTAAGTTTCTAGATTAGAATAATCTGCTTGCCATATGGAAGGTACTCAATGTGATTGCTGATTCAGTGAATTAATAAACGGGCCTGTCTGACAAGGACCAAGACAAAATAACAAAAAGCAAAGTCTTGAAAGAAACTTGAAAAAGACTACACCCTATGCTAACCCTTGAGTAAACTACATGAAAAGGTTTCCAATTTCCAAAGGTTCTTAATTCACTCCCTAGAAAGGTAAAGGAAAAGAAAATCTAGAAATATGGTTATCACTTTTGAATCTGCCATTTTAAAAGGGACTAGAATATCCCAGAATATATGAGCACTTAGTATATAACAAAGGTAGCATTTCTCATCTCTGATTTCTACTTTCTCCTGTCTAAGGTTACCCACTGTTTTTTCTGGTCCTCACTAACTAATGTTGAAATGTCTCTTTGGGTGTTGGTCTTTTACCTTTGGAAAATTCATGAAATTCTTCCCTCAGCTGTGAGGCTGTGTAACGCTGCTCTCAGCGAGCCCAGCTTGCTGATTAAACCACTTTCCTTGGTCCTCACAGTTGTTGTGGATTTCAGGAACTCCACAGAATTCTCCATCTGTATTTAGCTGTCTCCTTGATGCCTCTTGAAGATGAGGAAACTTCTCCAGATATTTCCCATGCCCTGCTGAAGGACTTCCTTGGGAGAAGGTGAAGGGTTGAAAGTTAGAGGGGAAGGATGCTGGATCAGACTCTTCTCCTTGCTGCCATTCCTATAAGCATCTACAAACCTGCCACCCCCCAAGGTTCCAGGTGGGCAGGGCTCATAACCCCTCCGGTCCTGATGTCTTCATACTCATCTAACAGGAATCTGTTCCCCACTTCCCTCTCCCAGAAGCTGCAGTAGTCAGAGCTTAGAATATGTGATGTTCCTTGTCTACATCTGGTTTTCTCCCCTCTCTCTTGCAATCAAGGCTCCTCACTGCCCATACAGCCTAGAAAGTTTCATGCTGTCCTGTGTGATGGGCAACCACTTTCTTACTTATATCCTGAACTCTTCTCTACTTTATGGCTAACTCTGATCAGTTCTATGATCCAGATCTCTAGCATCACGTTAATATTTCTAACCAAGTCATATATGAATTAAAAATAAAACCATTTCCCTCTGAGGAGCCTAGCTCTTTCAAATCAATTGACAGATCACTGGATAAAGAAGTTGTGGTATATTTATACAATAGACTACTACTCAGCCATGAAAAATAATAAAACAATGTTATTTGCAATAACATGGATAGAACTAGAGACTGTCATTCTACGTGACATAAGCCAGAAAGAGAAAGAAAAATACCATATGATATCACTTATATGTGGAATCTAAAAAAAAAAAAAGACAAACCTATTTACAAAACAAAAACAAACTCACAGACATAGAAAACAAATTTATGGTTATCAGCAGGGGAAGCGGGGGGAATGGATAAATTGGGAGCTCAAGATTTGCAGGTAATAATATATATAAAGTAGATAAACGAGTCCATACTGTATAGCACAGGATACTGTATTCAGCGTCTTGAAGTAACTTACCGTACAAAAGAAGAAAATGAATCTATATATGTTCATGTATGACTGAAGCATTATGCTGTACACCAGAAGCTGATGCAACACTGTAAACTGACTATACTTCAATTAAAAAATATATATATACAAAAAAGAGAAGCTTGTTTTGAGCTTATTGTACTTGCTGTAAGTTTTTTTTTAAATATTCTACTAAGCACTTTAGATCTTCTGTTGACTTTTTTCTTGATTGTGTCTGCCCTTCCACTAAGGCAACACATGTCACTGAAAAGATGAGAACAGAGAAGTAAAGGAACAAGCATAATCTGGGGAAGTAATAGCCCTGGTTAAAATTTTCCAGATATCATCCCACATATAGTCAATCACTTGGCTCTGTCAATTCCATCTTCTAAACACTTCTCTGTTCCCTCCCTGTCATTCCACTTCCACTGCCACCACCTTCATTCAGGCCACTATCATCTGTCCCAATTACTATACCAAGGGAATAATTACATACAATTTATAAGTATGTATTTATCTCAGAATACTATTTACATTAGGAAAAAAGGATGGAAAGAAACTCAATTTACACCTATGAATGGACTGGTTAAATAAATTGTACTACACTCAAACAATAACATATGTTAACATAATATGTGGGAAAGTGTTCATTTGGTATTTAACCATTAAAAATCCAATTGCAAATATTCATGAAGATATTCAGTGTGTGTGTGAGATGAGAGAGAGAGACAAAGAAGAGGGAGAGAGAAGCATGATTAGATACTGGATGATAACAAGAGTTATTTTCTGAGTGATGAGACTCATACTTTTTTTGCTTTTCTATTTGTCTGAAATGTCTAATTTTATAAAACGAACACTTGGTATTGTGCAGGAAAAAGTTTAATTTATTTTGTAAAGAAACTAGCTGTCTTTAGACTAATGTGAAAATATTTTTAATTCATTTAAGATGGATTGAGACTGGTAGGTTTAGTAACATTGGACTGGTAGGTTATGTCATAGGTAGTTGTTCTCTTTTTAACTAGGAATACTATCTTTCCAGTTGCACATAGAAGAATTCCAGCATTTCAGGATAAATCACTTGAGAAAGACAGGGGTTTGCAATGAGACATGTTTTCATAAATAATGTTATAAAGAAATTTCTACCTCTTTCCAATCAACATATTTATTTAGGCTGAAGGTTGAGATAAAAAGTCTCTATATTATGGTTTTCCATCATTAGTCATTGAAGGCTTCAAAATTATTTACTTCACTATTACAAAGTCGGCTAGTTTTTCTGCAATATCTATTCTCCTCTTTTACCTCTGGTTTTTAGCTGGATGAATGACTACCCAGAAAATGTCTACATTTCCATGCACCCATTCCCCGGAAGCTTTGTGCACCTGGTGACTAAGTTCTAAGGGTACAGTGGAAGGTACATACAAAAATTCCAAAAATGTTCTTTAAAAGGAAGTATAGTGCCCTTATTTTTCCCTACATATTCCTACTGTCTGAAAAACAACATGGTGTATCTTCAATGGTCATTTTGAGATTACTTGGGAAATGAAAATCAAAGAGAGAAACAGGATAGAAGGAGCCTAGATTCCTGACTTCAGCATATTCAACTAGCTCTCCTTAAAAATGGTTGTCAAAGCTATGTCATCACCTCCAAAATGTTCATTACCTGTTTGACATCATACTCTGGGAGTCATATTCACACCATGAATCCAACATGCATGATATCAGTGCTGTATTAACTGAAATAGAAGTCGGGGGGTATCTGATGCTGGTTCACAGGATTATCATGATTCTCATTCTTCTAGTGGCAAAAGGTGGAAAAATGTATTGTCATTTTCTACTCCTTTCTTCACTGCCACAATTTTTTATCCCTATGCAATCTACTAGGTCATGAAATTGTCTTATATTAAGAAATGTCATGATTTCTTACATTTAGCATCTCCTTTTCACACTTAAGTACTTCTAGTGGTTCTTAATTTTGGGATGGTTTTAGTCTCCATTCAGAATCTTTTTTTTTAATTGAGGTTTGTCAGTTTACAATGTTGTATCAATTTCTGGTGTACAGCACAATGCTTCAGTCATACATGAGTATACATACATTCATTTTTTTATTCTTTTTCACCATAAGCTACTACAAGATATTGAATATATTTCCCTGTGCTATACGGTATAAACTTGTTTATTCTATTATATATATATCAGTCAGGGAAAGGATAAACTGGGAGTTTGAGATCTGCAGAATCTTATAAACACTATTGGATCATTTTCCCCAGAAAAATGGATGTCCACTATTCAGTATATTTCACATAATCTCATGGGAACATGGCAGACTTCAGGTTAGGAACTCCCTGGTTTAGATCTCCTTTTTTGTTTCTTCTGTGTCTAGTTATCCCTGATTTTTCTCATTTCAACATTCTCTCCCCAACTCTTCATCAATTTGGGTGTAATTGTCTCGGGAGCTTTTACGAAATGCACATGCAGGGGCTCTACTTCCACCTGCTGAGTCAGAATGTGCAGGATGGGAAGAATGGTGTGTCTTCGTAAGTTTTTCTAAGTAGTTCTGATATGTTCCCTGGGTAGAGGTCTGAAGTTACACTGATTTTGGATTAATCTTGTATTTTCCAAAATAATATTTAAAGGATTCCTAGTGCCTGCCACACTATAACACTGCACAATTACTGGAAGAGCCTCTGTAAGCATTGCAGGGCATCCTTAAGCTGACCTCAGCTTACCCTTCAATAGCCATCTTATAAAAATGTACCCGATCTTCCAATGAAATTGAATGCCAAACATAGCTCATCTTTCCTGCATCTACACATGTGCACATGCTGCATATTTTTCCTGAAACCCAGTCATTACTTCTTCTAGAAGTCTTATGTATCCCAGACTGTCTAAATGCAACCTCCTCTAGGGAATTTTCCTTGATTCTCAATAACCAAAGTAAATACTTCCTCTTGAATCTCAAAACATTGTGTTAATATATTCCTTCTGGATCTGTCACATTCTGACTTGATAACTTTTTTTTAGTTTTCCTTATTTTCTCATAGGAACATAAAATCTTGTGAAGAAGGAATTCTAACTTCATTTTGCATTTCACACATACTTATCATAGGCTCTTGTCCTGTAGATTATGAATGAATGAATGAATGGTAGAAGGGTGGATAAAAAGATTTAAAGGCTGAGAGTCTTCTGTTTGCAATTGTCTATAACTCCACTTGTTCACAGGGGATTACAAAATAATGAATTTAGCACTCAAAGAATATTCCTGTTTAGAAGTGAGATTTGGGACAAAACTGAACACTAATAATGAAGATGATAAAGAGAAATCACTGACAAGCATTGTAATTCTTCCATACTTAATAAGAGAGAGAGGTGATGCTCAAATTTTTGATTAATAATTGTGTTAGAAGATCTAAGGTTTCATTGAGTTTAGATCAATCTTGTTGAGGGAGAGAGCAAAAATACTAAGGAAGTACAACTTCCTTTCCCTTTGTGGTTAAAAAAAATTGCACTGCTCTCCTAAAGGTGGAAGACATAACAGGTAGTTAATTTTTTAAAACATTCAATGCCAACCTCCTAAAAGGGCTATGAAGAATTTCTTTTCACACCAGTTAAATGTTGACTTTTTTCTATGCTGTTTGGGTTGAATGGTCAAAAAAACCAAGGCGGAATATAATGCCTGACCCACATAATACAATTAAATGCATGCTATTCCTCACTGACTCTATAATCCTTAAACCTACTTTTTTATGTGCAAGAATGTGAAAGTACAAATACTTTTCAGAGGATTCTAGACTTGAGACCTACTTGACTGCAGTTCAAAATCACTCCATAAATGACATTGTGTGTTATTAGATAACCAAACGTTAATCTGCATATGTGTGTACACAGCTTGTATTTTTAAATCACAGAACATTTTCCAAAAATTCTGAAAAAATAATGGCAGTTGCTGCTACTGCCACATTTTAAAGCTATCAATACATCATGGTTAAAATAAAATCTGGCTTATTGGTAACTTTTTTTCTTACATAAAATTTAAAAAATCAAGTTTTGCATCTCAGGATTGAAGAAGGAAGTAAGAATACGGTTTTACAGCTAAAAGATGAAATGATGTAACAACTAAAATCATCCTCTAATGATTATGAAAATCCCAAATAAGTCTCAAGAGGAGACAAGAAGAAAAGGCTTGGAGAGTAGTAACCCAAGATTTGTGAAATAAAATTGATTTCCATTCAAATCAGATCTTTTACTCTTCTTGAAAATGTCAGGGTGTCAGGCTTGGCCATTACAAGACTGATTTATATTTGGGACAAAGTGATGGTACCAGCTGACTGTCTGGAGCCACGGTACAGTGTCGAAAGACTGCCGATGACAGCTGTCCTTTTCTTAACCAATCAGCAAAGCTTAACTAAAACCCTAGTCTTTTTTTTCAATCTTGATAAGGAAAAAGGTAAAATACAAACCTGGAAGATTTGCTTTGTGGGAAATAAACAAGCATTGTGGGAGGAAGTAGATATCATACTTCCACAGAATAATAATAGACATTATTTATGGCAATCTATATTTCAGACGTTTAGAAACACATATTCATAAAACGAGCATAAACAGATGTTCCAAATCTGACAACTTATTCTAATATACTGGAAACCACAGCATAATTTTGTAATTTGATTAATTAGGAAGAAGAATTGAGAATGTTAAAATCAATTTTCAAACTTGCTAAATTATATTTATAGCATTGCTCATCTGCATCACAAAAATACTGCAAAATGATTTGCATAAGAATCATTATTCATAACAAATTCATCTTTTTCTCATTGAAGAAGATCCCTATATAGTAGTTCTTGGTATTAAAATGTTTAAAATTGCCTAGGTCATACCATGAATAAACAATAGGGCTGAAAAGGATAAAGATCTAACATTCTAATCATATAGAATCATATAATGGTTATACATATATAAAGATGTAATTATATATATGTGTATATTATATATATATATACAACTATACAAATATAATTATATCTATATATAATTATAGCCACTATATTGACTTTATATGATTAGAATGTATATTTTTAACCTTAAAGATAGTAGAAGGGGGAGAAATAAATTTATAAGCCAAAATAAAATATTCTCAAGAATCAACAACATAAAGCTCCCTAATATTAGAGGTAAAAGTGGACAGGATATACAATTTGCTGAACAGAATGGCTTAAACATATGCTGGCTGAGGATAGACATTAGACTACAGAATATATTGCCATTTTTTTTAACCAAACTCCCATTTCTAATAATCCTAAATAATTTAAAAAAGGGCAGATTCCTAAATGAGTCCAAATATTGACTTTCCTGATGTATGTATGCCATTTATTAAATGATCATGGGAAGTGTTAATAAAATGTAATTAACCTCCATTATACTCAAGGTTGAGAACTGCAGTTACAATGCTATACAGAACACATTTGGGCCAAAAACTTAATATCGCCTATATGTGGATAGGGCCCACTAAGTTTACCAAGACAAACGTATTTGACAGAAGCCTATAACATATCATAATGCTAAGCAGTTTAGAAATATGTTGTGGCTGTTGGGAGCCCTGTTACATTTTTGCTTGCTTTGAATTTCTTTCACCTTCTGCCATTGACATTAACCTTACTAGGTTAATCTTGTAAGCCTCTCCCTACAAAGGCTGTCCAAATGAGTCACTCTCAAATGCAGAGAGAGGTGGCTCCAAAACAGAGCCAATCAGAGCCTTTCAGAGAAATGAAATTGATGTAGGGATAGAGAGAAAGAAACTTTTTCTTTTTTTTTCCCCATTCTGGAATCATAAGCTCTAGGAATGATGCATGATGCAGGCTGAGAGTTCCCAATGGCCATCTTTGCTATCACATAGAGAGATGTGAGAATGAGGCCAACTGCCTGAGAATGAAGTTAACCCACTGGAGATAAAAAGAGAAACAGAGAAAGAGAGAGAGAGAGAGAGAGGGAGAACCAGCTAGGGGAGGAGAGGAGAAGCAAGAGAAGAAGAGGGAGAGGAGGAAGTGGGGGGAGGAGGAAGAGATGATGATGATGAACATACAGTTTCCTTTTTCATTTAAACTAGTTTCACTACTGAAAGAGTCTGATTAATGTAATGATCTAAGTTAATGCTCTTCTTTCCTACTCTTTGACCCAAAAAGTCCTCATCCAACTATCTAATGATATACATTTTTAAATCACTTTAAAATTATCTTTCTCCACATTTAAAATTCTTAAATCAATTGCAAGTTAAAAAATTGAAAAGGAGAGAGGTTCAGTTCCATAAGACAGCAGTGGTAGAAGTAGTATTAGAATTCTGGTCTTCTATTTCTGCTTCACTGTTCAAGTTCAAAGGTGGCCATTCATGATGCAAATGTCTAAAAATCCAAGTTTATTCTGCATATTTTGTTAACTCCCAGAGACTAGCCCGATTAGAATGTTTGGATCCTTTGACTAATCAATACAATTGCTGCTTTACAAACCTTTGCATGATTAATATCATTATATTCAATTCAACTTATTTTTTAAAGAAATTAAATGATGGCTTTTTTTTAGATAGACTGAAATCATACATAAATACTACATTTTGGTCCAATTATTCTGGACATATCATTTCTATAAACCACAATTATTAACATTTTCATGGTCTACCAATGACTCTTAATCACCAGATCTTTGCCTGATATAGGGAATAATATGACCAGAATCTAGGCAGTGAAAAATCTTAACACTACCCCATATCTTGTCCAAAGCAACTCAAGAGTATATAGATGTCTTATAAACAACTAGAAAATAGGACAAAGCACATAAAATGCTCATCTAAAAAGTATAAAAAGGAATAAAACTTCTTTTTAGGATTTATGAAATGCTAAGGCAGACAAAAAGGACAAAAAGTGTTAGGTGAAAGACATCTTTTGTATAACATAGGCTATTGAAGAGCAGAATTCCTCTTTTTCTCTCCTATAGCTGGCACTCAGAAAACCTTTGATAAACATATTTATAGTAAGAGATGTGTGAGTGCCCTGAAGCTGAAATGATTTCCTAATGGTGTCTGCATCTCACTCTTTGGGAGAGTGTACACCTAGCAAATTCAGGCGATGAAAAGACAGTCTCTTTAGCAAAGGCAAATAAATACTAAAACTCACACAGGAAGAAAGAAGCTCATATTCATTGAGTGCTTTCTTGGTGCTAGAGACTGAGCTAACGCATTTACTTGGATTATTTCATTCATCAATCATGAGGTCCATTGAAGTCCTTGATATTAAAATGTCATTAAAACTTTACTGGAAATCAGTTCAGTTATTTGGTAGATTATGGCTCAGGCTGCATCTATATGTACTGAGGGAAACAACTACTTTTTACCATTAAATATTAAATATCTATAACTAATTTTCACATATATGACATTTCATTTCAAACTCAAATTTTGTTAAATGGTCACATCTTAATGGGCCATAGTGGTTCCATGTGTTGATGCAGGCTTAATTCATTGAATTCTTTTTTTTTTCAATGCTGAATATACATTTATGAATGAATGGATTAATGAATGAATTAACAACTTACTTTGAGTTGATAAGTTATATTTATGAATTGATGAATTTCACATGGGTTTCTTTCTCAAGCAGAATCTTTCCTCAATGGTAACCAAGATGTGTCACTAGTGAGACCAAGTTTTCATCCTCTTTATGATTTGTAATCCCTGAGACACAGAATGACAATCTTTTTCTAATATCTATGTTAATTCTACAAGAAGAATTTAGGAAAAAGCCTGCTAGAAATTTCACCCCTGAATCAAGGCCATAATGGTCTTTAAATTAACTTTAAAAGCAGTTCTTTATCTCAACATTCAGACCAGTAAAATATATATTCTTATAGATGTCATTGCTCCTTATGGATTTACATGTCTTATAGAATAAGTGTAAAGAGCATTTTCTAAAGTCAATAAGAGATAAAGTAGGGGTCATTTTTTTTTAATCTCTCAAATTTAGCAACATGTAGTCCAATTATTTATCAGCAATTTGCTCTTTCAGAATTACTTCATTACATTTATTTAAAATATTATTATAAATCACAGAATTGAATGGGTGGAAATGAACTCGAAAGATGATACAAGTTGAGTCTCTTTCTTCCAAAGTAGGAAGAGCACTTCCATTATGATACTGCTGGAAAAACAAAACACATCATCTCTTTGTCTCATGCACATACTTTGGTGAATTTCGTCAGTGTATTCAGTGGACTTCACTAGAGCCCACTCTATGGAAAGAAAACACATTTTCTTTAAACAGAAGATACTGTTCCTTTGAGATCCTGTTAATCACATTTCCTTTCTAATTGAATAAGTCACCACAGAAATTAGAGTACGAATTTCATTATTCTAGAAAGAATCTTAAAAGTTGACATGTCTTTGAACATTTGTTTCAGAAATCCTTTTTTAAGTGCATTTTCATTTTCTGGCATGGCTTGAATTGAATTCTAAACTTTCTGCTGCTTGTCCTCTAAGCCCCTCTGGTGAATTTAAATAGGCTTCCCTATATATTTAGTACATTCAGGAATTCTTTGTTGCAGTGCCTCCTCTGCTTTATTATTAGAAGGCTGTCTCGGAAGTCCAGCAGCCAGTTTGTTTTCTGCCATTAATAAAGAGTCTACTTTTTTTCCCCACTTCTTTGAAGAAGTTGAAAAGGCTCCATGTTGGGTGGAGGGGGGCCAGGAAGAGAGAGAAGTGAAGGGAACCGACTGTGGTGTAATCCTCCAACAAAAAATGTTGTCTAATGTAGAAACCTCCCCAAGGTTTAAAACGCACAGACAGGGTTTCTGGAGTGATGTATAACAAAGTAATAACTGAGCCACAGACTGGTCCCCCCTCATCACTAAGAATAGGAAGTCTACTATGAGAAAGACGTTACAGTTTTAAACCCTGCAATCCTTCTGTTGGCTAGCTTTCAACGTCACCCAAATCTCTCTGTGAAGATCTTTGAAAACTGGAAAGACCTAACAATGTACATTTAATGTCTCACAATTCATTTAAACATCTGGAAAAAATACATAGAAGACTTTCAAAAAAGACCTACCAATCTGGATGTATAAAATATTGATGTTGACTCATGGCCTAGGGAAAGCTAATTCAAAGGCAAGAAAGATGACTCCACAGAATAGTCATTTGGTGTTCACAAATCGTCAGACACCTACCAACAGAGAGGAAGAAACTTCTTAGAAAAGAGGAATGGTTAAATCTACCTACGCAGAAGAATCCAAAACACCCCAGAAAACTTAAAAGGCCGAAAGGCCAAGATGAAACTTGGAGGTTACTATTTTTATTTAGTTGACCTAACAGATACAGTTCATGATTATTTTTATACTAGTTTTGTTTATCTAGTAGTTAATTAAGGTAACACACTTAAAATCACATTACTTACACTAACAATGAAAAATATATTTCACTATATGAAAATTGTTCACTTTTAAATTCTCCATCAAATATGCATGGAATTAGCTGATTGATTATATAAAACTATTTAATTTAAATTCACTTAATCTCAATTACCTTTATGTTCCACCTGCTTTCAAACTTCCACAAGTAAAACAATACATACAAGTTAATATTATTGGTTAGCAATGTACTCCAACTGCTAAAACTAGGGAAAAAGCAACGTTCAATGAAAATCAAAGGTAGCTCATTGAAAAAGATGTTGTGGATAATTTTACAGCAAAGTCTCAATTTTCATACTATTTTTAGCAAGAGTTAAAAAAATAAGATATATACAGAATACATATAAAATTTTATATTAGCCTATACCTAAATGTTTATTAATTTATACATAGTAATGTGTATTAGTATGTATATATTCATGTATATATATTATGTGTATTAATATACACATGCATATAATGCCTCAGTGTGTAGTTGGTCCCTGAAAGATTACAAAAACTAAGTACAAAGATAGAAATGACAGATAATAATAGCACCTAAATTTCTACATACTAAGTATGTATTTACAGAGCTACACTAAAAAGTCTATTTTTCAAATGCTTACAAATGTGCAGGATTTTTGAAAACTTCTCTACATTAGGAACTTTGTTTTCCTTTTCCAAATACAGTCACTAAAAGGTCAGTGGGATTTGAGTGCTAAGTTAAATGTCTAGTAAGAAATTAAACAAAAGAATCCAAGTAATCAAAATGATGCCTGCATTTGTTGCCTACCGAAATGTAGGCTGCACTGCGTGCGTAAATGGCAAGAAAATTTGGGTGTTAGCTAACCCTTTATGTACTGCTTTTCTCGAAACTCATCCAAACGTGACAGCTTGTAAAACCATTTACATATTTATCAGGTGAATTAGACCAAGCCTAGGGACATGTACCAACATGTTTATTTAAATTTAAGGAATTTAAGGTGGTATATACCTTTTCTAATTTCATTAGAAATTAACTTGTACTATAATTCTCCTGAGATACCTTTACCTCTTTCTAGACATTATTAATGTGACCTAATGCTTGAATGACAAGAATATCTCTACACCTCTTCTGCGGCATCCCTGAACACTGAAGTGTTAAGGACTTTTATACTCAGAAAGCTATTGACCCCGTGAACCCTGAAATGAAATATAATCATATTTAGATCTGGCAAAATTCCAGAAGTGGCTTCCTTGATGGATCCTAAAAGGCTTTAAAAAATGCCATTTTGAAAAATTGCTGTTTTCCTTATAGATTAAAAGTTAAAAGCATGAGTATCACAATATTAACAGAGCAATAGAAAAGAGACAAAAGAAAAACTACTACTTCATTGGTATTTGATAGATGTCTAAGGTGAATGATGATATTGAAAGAAAGCATGTGAAGTTCACAGTAAATTAGCAAACAATATGAGAAATAAAAAGAATCAAGCAAGGATTAGTATATTTATGTAAAACAGTGATTCACTATTTCAAAATTAAAATGTAAAAATAATCTGGTGTCAGAGAGGAGGTGATTCTTCATTTCCACCGCACTGAGCAAGCTCACATCGGCAGCAGACAGCCCTTAATATATGCGTCTGGCTCAGGCTGGTCTCCCAACCAGGAAGCCATCGAATTGTTAATATCACTCCTTTTTTTGTATGCAACACACATCATTTTCTCGCTCTTTGTTGTAGATCTCTCCTTTTATTTTAAGCCTGGTATGATCTGATTTTCCAAATCATATTATACAGTCCACAAACAATATTATCCTGTGACTACTCCAAGACAGAAATGCAGAAAAAGTGGCATCCATCTACCCATATACAGCATAAAGTAATTTATATAAACAAAGTTATTCACTTATATCTCTACTCACCTTTATGGGGTAAGAGAAAAGCTTTATGAAGCTTCAGAAAAGATAGTTCATATATCAGAAGGTTACACAGAGACGGTTCAGAGAGTGCATGACAATTAGTAAAATGTATATATTTTATATATGTTTATGAGAAAAATAAACATCACTGTATTTTCAATTTAGCTTTGGTATCTTCTGCCTGTGAAACAGAAGTTCATATATAGTGTGGTTCATAAATATGATAACATAAAAAAATCTTGCATTTGAAATAGTTTATATTTGATATCACTAGAGCCAATTAACATCTATCCCTTACATTATTTTGGAACTAAACTGATGGAACATCTTATACATATTACTTATGATTATGTTAAAACAGGTGTCTATAAACACAGACCTGTATGTGGTATTATTTTATATAGGAGGTAGTTTCTGATCCATTGTGTGAACAGTGTTATTAAATATAATCAAGTTTCTGTGTACTTGCAGATACATGTACACAGAGTTCTTTGTATTGAGAAACTTATGCTTTCAAAAATGTTTAATTACAATGAGAATAAGGTTGAAAGAAGTAAAAAATGCTACCAAAAACTTTACTGTTTGTATTATCTCCGTTCATCTGGAGTTTCAAAGCATCTGTTTACACATACACACATACACACACTTAAAACTTCAGAGATTTTAGATAAATGACATAGGTGGTATAAATGAAGAATCTGAACAGGTGCAGTGTGGACACATGCTTAAACACATTTTCTGTGACTTTATAGATGAGGAACATGTTTGTGATATTGTAATATAAGTTTTTTAGGAAATATACAGCTCATAGGTGATTTGTATTCTGTGATATTTCAAATCATAAGTAATTCTAGCAAATCCAATAAAAAAGGTGAACAAAGACTCCACTAGAGTATTCTAAAATACATTCAGAAATTTATTTTTAAAATGCGAAGATAAATATAATTTATAGTACCTGTGCAAGGCAACAAAGTTTAAAGAATGAAATCATTTTGTGCTTCTATTATAGAAAGTCTCTCGTCTCCATTTTGAATTTCAATATCTGAAACATTACTGCAAAATTTTAAAATAGGCAGTGTATAATTCTGTTTTCAACAATACATATTAGATATAGCAATGGCTAATAATGTTCAACTATGACATGTTAGTCATAGTTGGAATATTTACCTTATATAAAACTAAAATATTCATAAAACTCAAACTCCACAGTTCAGATGCAGTTGATGGATGAACTGGAGCAGTCTGACTTCATACATGATATTTACTAATTTATCTCACATAAGCGTCCATGATGTATACCAAGTAAAATGTAAAAATTAAAAGGTATCATATTTCTGCTAATTATGGTAACTCTTGAACTCTTATAGCTAGATAACGTCTTATCATAATGAGACATATAAAGGATTTCGTCCGGTTAAAAAGACCAAAGAAAACTCTGGCAATAAATACCAAGTATAAAACAGCATTATTCTTAAATCAGTAGTAAAATCTAATAGGGTCACATAAAGAAGATGCAAATCATTTTATTTCTAGGCCTCAAGCATGATTATAGCTAAACATTACATACTCTGAACCACAGTTATGTGAGAACACACAGGATTTATTTACGTAGCTAATGTTTCGATGCATATGAAAAAAGTTATAAATATAAACCACTCTCTTCCTTATTAACTAAAGAGTTATTCTCTTAAAATATACCAAAAGAAGCATTTTAAACATCAGTTGTATTTTAATTGTGCTTCCTACACAGATATCTTATATTGCTTTTATATGGTTGCTAAAATATAATACAAATGCTATTTCAGTGCAACTCTGTAATCACTTTAGAGCACAGTTTCTGAAAATGGTATTTTGGGGGGGTGGGTCATGGTGAAAACACTGCTGATTGTAAAGAAGAGCATTGTTCTTTTCTCCTAGGCAGAATCTATGTGTGTTCTTTTGTTCTGATGGTAACTGCAGACAATCAATAAGGTCCAAAGCCGCTGGTTCCCCTCCGCCTAGGTCCCAAGAGCCTGACTTGTGATGTTACTAAAATACCTCACAAGTTAGGGTCTCAGGGACTAGGAAAAGTCTGGTTTGATGCGGTAGAATTCTTCTTCCAGTAATAAGGCTAATTTAGAAATTACAGTTGGGTTCAGTTAACTTTTCCCTCTAAGTACTGATTAAAATACATACGTAGAAATATATATGGTATAGAAAAGTTAGGATGAACTGAATATTCACGATGACCACTTATAGACTAATTTCAGACCTTAAAATAATGAAGAATATCAGAAACAATGCAGATAATGAACAGTTAAGAGTCATTCCATTAGATCCAAGACAGAGACCAAAAATGGGTTAAAATCTGTTTCGACCAGATTTGTACAGCAACGCCATAGCTTCTATTACATTAAAGAAGGATTATATGCCTCTTAATGGGACCCTAATTGAAATTTTGCTTCCCATTACAGGTCTACACAGCACAAGTTTTAAGGTGGGCCCAGGACATAAAACACTTCAAATCTAATTTAAATATATACTGTTGCAGTTAAGAGTAAAACAAAAACTTTTTTGCATGTCATAATTTAATACCTCTGAAGCTTGCTATTTCTCTTTGAATCTCCAAACTATTCAGACAGCCACTATTTCCATGCATACTCTAGCTATTTGAGCAATGCCACTTCATAAACACGTAACTTAAAACGCTGGCAACATGATAAGAGAAAAAAAATTCTATTTTTAAATAATTGCATTATAAAGCTCTATACTTTTGAAAATACACAATCCCAATCCTGTATAGTCACTGAATTTCCTCCGATCTTTTAGCCTTGTTTGTGGTTCGAGAATTTGTACTTTAGGAATGATCCAAGGTTTAGTAAGTAGCACAGAACGCAG